ATGTACCGTAGGGGTCTTGGTGGATAGATCTCCGGGGATGCACTGGGTAGCTTCCTGTCGGATGGGTTCACGGAGAAGAGTCACACACACTTTGTTGCTTGATAGGTAACCGGGATAGCGCCAAAGTCTCGACGTAAAGAGGTAAAGAATCAACTTATTTTTTATATGAAATATTATTTGATCATATCATGAAATGATCAATTCTAAGGTCTAATTAAAATTATCGAACTCTATTAAAGTTATATATTCTAGAGAAAAAGAGACTATATGTATATATATATATATAGTCTCTTATCAAATTTGAAAATTTAAATAGAAAATCCTCGTCAAATACGACTTTTATGAAAGAAAATCCTGTTATTAACACGTACTTTATAAATAGTTAATAGGTTCACCTATATATTAAATTTTAAGAAAGCATTTAACGGTTTGATTATGTTAAAATTCATTTGGTTTCCAAAAGATATGATGCAAATATGATACATTTTGAAAGATATTGGATATCGTAAGTGACTGTGTACTTAAATTTAACAAAATACAGCAATCATATCTGTGCTGTAATAATTTATACATTGTGGTTTTATTTTGAACCATATTAATTAAGTGGCACAAATTTTTGAAACACACTTAATTCGGTAATTAACGCCTACTGTAATTAAATGTTTGACGTTTCAAAGTGCACCTGTCAAACGTTCTATTCCTTTTACGTGCGGATTAAAAGTTGTAATTAGATGCTGTTCTGTGAGGATTAACATTTCATATATTAAATGAGTGAATCAAGGTATCTCTTAAAGTAGAGATAAGGACTAATGAAAATCTATATTTAAATTTAAAGCATTTGTAAGATTATTTCATTCTGCTCTTTAAGTAATATTGCTTGTAGCTTGAACAATTGGCAGGCTGCGGAATATGATCAAATTTGAGTGCCGTATTGGGTAAGTTTGTTCGTACAGGACACCTGAGATTGCCAGTTTTTTTAAGCAATTATTATCTATGCTTATATACTAAAGAGGAGAAATTTCTAACTTTGTTTGTTTGTAGGGGATAATTTTCGGAAATACTAGATCGGATCATAAAAATTCTTTCTCCTACGGTAATTTACATCATACTTGGGTGACTTAGGCTATAATTTACAGAGCGAAATCTCGGGAAACAGCTAGTAGGAGACATAATAGTAAATGCAAAATTTATCAAATATGCAAATTAGTTTTATTACAGCAGTCGACACTGGTATGGTTTTTATATTAAACGGAATTCAATATCAGCCAAGTGTCATTATGATTTATTCTATGCAACACATCGATCCAGTTATAATTGAATGAGCATATACTTCGGAACACACCTTTATATGACATCTTGGCCTTCTAGCTGTTCTACTTATAGCATCCATATTATGGTAATGGACTGGTTAGCATTGTTACAGAGGATCTGGAGTCGCTTTGACCCCGTGCGAGGTATGTTACAGCTACATAAATATGTTATATTACATAGAATACATATGACACATATAACTAGGGTGTGTACAAATTTACGCTGTAATATTTTATGGTTTTAAAAACTTCACTAATTCACTTGCTTTGTTTTCAGTATTTTATTAAATTTATTAGTTACAAGCTATTTTTTCGCGACTACGCACATGAAAATTGTAGCTTATGTCACGCGTTTGATGTAGCTCCCTATAGATGAAAGTATTTTTAAAATCCATCTGGTTTGAAATTGCAGAGCCTATTCAGTGCTAACAAACAATGAAATCTTCCCTTTTTATAGTATAGAAAACAGGTTCATGTTGAAATGTAAGAAATAGACAATGCATCATTACCAACCTGTTAATTTCTTACTGGGCAAGAAATATATGGAATGTGGCCATAATCCATCACGCAAATCTAGATAGGACGGTATTGATGACTCCAGAAGTACTACGCTCTGCGGAACATGTAGATTTCATGATAATATATTGAGATACTTTTATAATAAGCCATTGAATTTAAATTTTGCAAAGAAACTGAAAGTGTCAAAAAATAAAAACTAAAAATACTATATGCCTATGAGGACCCAAACGGGAACTGATTAAGAGCTTAATAATGCAATTTAAGACTTAAAATATCCCACTTATAGGCATAATTCTGAACTGTCATCGCCAACATTGAGAATGTCACAGGCACGTGGCTACACATGTATAAAACGAGGTAATGACAGCGATCGCAGATCGCAAACATTGTGCATGCGACGTTGATTACAGTAATTTGTTCTGTAGATCGATAGGTGATGTACCTATGTACTTACAAGGCGAGCACGATGAGGTTATACGAGTAGGATTATTATTTTGCTTTATACGAAGTTTAAATTTAATATATTTATGTTTAACTGAGGGAATACTGTATCGATTTATCAATAGTATCACAAAACCCGGTAAATGTTTAAAGAAATAAGAAATTATCTGCCACAAAAGCAATAAAAATTTAATCAAAAATACGAACTTTTTGGTACTTTTTAAAAATTTTAGTAATGATATTAAATTATTTTGCAGTGACTCAGAGTATATAGATTGGGACATAACTCAAATACTTTTAAATGAGAGATTAATCGGTATACGTTGGGTGCACCGATCGAACACCAGGAACCATTAGTAGTATTTCTGTACTTTTCTACAATTTAGTCCTGTTTAGATATTTTGTGATTTATCTCAGTCTTATTTCATGAACATAAACTTAATAAGAATTAAGAAAATTTAAGTAAGCTACATTTTTATATGATAATTTAAAAAATGTAAAGAATTGTAAATTCTAATGTAATTTATTTCAACAAGTTTCTTACTGTTTTATAGATTGTTAATTATTATTTATCGTTTCGGCACTCTATTGTCTATAATATAAGCACTATCTATATTTAAGCACTTTTTTCCTTAATGACTGTTTGTTAAGTTAAAGAACGTTAAGTTAGTTAGGTTAGTGTTAAGTTAGGTTAAGTTAAGGTTGTTAAATTGATTAAGGAGTACAATATTTTATTTCGCAATGGTTGTTGCAATAATTGAGTTACATCTTTAAAATAAATTTCAAAATTTTGCTTAGAAGATTAAATAAGGATGTTATTTTAATACCGCGCGTTAAAAGTGAGTGAATGATACTACTGATACTGAATAATCTACTTTAACTATGGAGGGAGGATGCGGGAAACGCTCCAGGCAAATATTCCGTTACGCCAAGGAAATAGATCTAGCAGCAATTACATTTTATTATTTACGAAGTACACGATACGGTGCTATATAATAAAAACAGCTATAAATATTGATTCGCAGAAGCGTTTTGCTTTATGCATGTAACTGTCTTTGGTATAATAAAATTATAGGTACACTAGTAATAATTGAATTATTAATTATGATATCCTATAGTTTCTTGAAATACGGTCCTATAAAAATATAATAATACACTGAATTGCTGAAATAAATTAACATTAAAAGTTCGTATCTCACGAACAGCCAATCGTGGAGTATGGGGCTGGAAAATATTGATATTGTTTTGGCCGAATGATATTTGTTTAAATATACATGTCACCGGAAAATAACAATAACCGCAAATTGATAAATTTCCTAGGAAATTTATAAACTTTTGTAGGATTCTAAACGAGAGATAAATTGTATTATGTTACGTTCACATAATCCCACGAAAGTCGTTAATAATTCAATTATTACTAGTGTACCTATAATTATACTCAATACAGTTATATGCATAAAGCAAAACGCTTCTGCGAATCAATATTAATAGATGTTTTTATTATAAAGCACCGTATATGATATTTCATACGTTTCTTGAACTCCTCCGATACTCTATACATTGCCTAGGTATTGTACATAATATATATTATTATTTACCTGAATTATTATATATATACCTGAATAATAAATTATCGGTAACATATTCATATATAAAGATTTCGAATTTCTGAAATAGTCACAAGCAGTTATTATGGACCTTACAGACGAATCCGTCTGTATACATATAACCAAAACACCAGTCTAATAAAATCCTTAAGAACTATTAAAGGTTACATTACACACCGCTCGTAAATAGTAACGAGAGCGTATCGGTCGAGTACGTATGTAAATGTCTGTATAACAGCTTATCAGCCGTCATTCTGAACACCACACTTGCATAAATTAGAGCATCAGGCTCGGCCGAGGTCGAAATGTATTCCGAGCATTAATAATTTATAAGTGTACGCGTCGTCATATACCGTATTTATCCACGCCATCACGTATGCTCTACAAAGATTATATTAACTACCTTTTTTATCTAGAGTAAAGTAATTAACTTTATAGTTCATCATATTACTATAATTTAAAGATTAATTTAAATTTTTAGTAACCAAAATTGGTCCAACCACGAATAATTCTTTAACACTCTGATTAATGCATATGGTTAATTAGCATTTTGGAAAACAGTAGAACTAATGTGGTAGCAGCATTCCGTTTGCAGCAACAATTAACGTCGTAGGAATAGGTTGATAATTTTTCTTCAGTAATAGTAACATTAATAATAATAGTGACATTAAACAAATGTGTTTCTACATTTTAAAATTTCCATTAAAAAAAATCAAAAGCATATGACGGTCTCTGCAAGAAAACTGACACAGCTCAAATCTGCTCGGTACAGAAAAGTTGAAATATTTATATAAATGTTGCAATATAAGTGTAAGTAAGCGAAGATTCCCGTAGTTATTCTAACCATAAAATACTATCTAAATATAAGCAGACAGTATTATTTCACAAGAGTTGGCACAGTATCTTTTAATCGAATTAACTTGTATAGTATTTTATAATTGTTCGCTACCTAGTCTCGTTCTGTATGCAAATTATTTTGCGCGCTCTAAAGTATCATAAAATTATAAGAGGCACAATCTAGATAACCACACTAGTTTACATAAAGTTTAACTACCCACATTCACGACAGTTTCACTAACTATTCCTATTTAGGGTATTTATTTCAGAAACTAAAAGCTCAAACATCTGAACAATACCAATTGTATTGTAACATAACTGTATACTATGAGTAATTTAAGGCACGATTATATCAACTTTCGGTCTGAATAAAATCCAGGCGCTGCTTTATACGCAAGCCACGTGTCTGAATAAGCAAATGCGGAAAGCAGATTGTTCTAGCTCCGACAGAGAACAACGATCAGCACTTTAGCATGTCACCATTATTATGTGTTAAGCGATAAATGGAGCAACAATTGACTGTCTAAATTACAACCAATCGATTCTCTAAATGTACCAAAGAACACTATAAAAGGACTATTACGTAAGCACCTGTTAATCAGAACTATTATGATTGACCTTCTTGTATGATAAGAGGAGAGAATACGGTGTGTCATTAAGAACTTTATAGTCTGTAGAGGTGTGTTATAATAGCACTCATAGAGTATAATCGCTCGGGACGTAATGCGGGTCAAGATATCCATGTTGCATCTGGATGTGTTGCGGGCTCAATCGGAGATTATACCACTGTTTCGAGTGTGCGGTGCGCTGAGGTATAATTTTCTTGGTTCTTAGAAATTACGGAACTACTAGCGTTAATTTTTAACGAAGCTACATCTGTTTTGAGGAATGTAAAGGTTGAAAGGAAACGAATGTATGCGCCTCTGTAAATTGAGGATTCAACATGTAAATAGGGCAGTGTGAATTATAGAAGATTGCGAGAATGTAGGGGAGCGAGGGGCTAGTTGTAACAATTTTCAAAAATACTTTTATATCTCGAGATATCTTGGCTAGCTTATCATTGACTAAAGTTTGATTGAAACTTTAACTATTCTTCTATTATGTCAAATCAAAAAAATATCAAAAATCCAGGTAACTCTTTCGCAATTACTGTTTTATTTAAAAAAGGGAAGTGTTACAACGTACCCCGTGCTTGGGGTTAGTTGTAACATCTATTGGGGCAAGTAGTAACATCAATTAAAAACAAAAATGTGACAACTCCAATCATTTATTTTTTTCACATATTGAATCATTTTGCTTTGTTTACAACAAAAACTAACCAAGTACTCCTATAATATGTAGTTTTCTTATTAAATAATTAACTGGAACATACTTTTTATATAATCAACAAATTAAAGATTTAAGTTAATAACTATTCATCTTATTTTGTACTTATGTACTACAAGAGGTACTTATATATCAACATGGCACTTTAAAATCACAGTAAACTAATAAACTATAAACTTCCAAATCAAGTCTCGTAATTATCTCTTAGTTCTACATAACATCTTACAATAATCAGCCTTGCTATGAGTTTCTTACTAAAGAATTTAGTCTTCATCCGAATTACAGTTGATACAAACAAAAGAAATAGTATCTCCAGTGACACATCCTACATGTGCCCACATCTTACATACAATACATTCAACCCAATCACCTTTTGAATGACTATACGCCTCATCGCAAACAAGACAATGCCAATCTTCAGATTCTGAATCTGAACTGAGAATTCTTTTTTTAACTCTTTTTACTCCATATTTATTTTTTACAGATTTTTTACCCTTTCCTTTCCCCTTTCCCTTTCCTTTTCCCTGATCTTTATCATCTTTCTTTTGCTTTTTCTTTATCTTTTCTTCATATTCCATTCTCAAAGATTCTTTTTCAGGCGTGTCAGTTAAAACAGCAGATTTCCTCTTGCGTCTACAATTCCTATTTGATTTTCGTGGTAGTGCCTTCGGTAATGGCTTAATCTTCGATGGGGAAAATTGATTTTGCCCAGAGCAACTTGGAGTTGGTTCGTTCGCAGTTTCGATGTGGCGTATAATTTCTGTGGTGCTTATATCGACTTCAGGAGCAGATTCTAATAGTTCTGGATTTTCAAGATTCAACGATAAATTTTCACTTTCATTTAGAACGTTTTCTGATTGTTCTGTAGGATCTGGACGATCAGTAACATAAGAGGGTGCAAAGTCACTATCTTGGAAAATATCCACATTCAAAGGCCAAACACCAGAAGCTTTAAATCCACTGATAATGTTTGCAGGGTTCAAGGCAAGTGGCAATGACTTCTTCACTACACTTGGGATGTCATATATTGTCATCGTTTTCCCCGGATTATTATGCATCCATGCAGTCTGTGCTCTGTTCACGTAGTTTTTAAAAGGGCCATAGACTCCTACGTCCATAGGTTGCAATTTGTGAGAGCAATGGGGGGGGGGAAACGATAACATGATAACATTGTTTTCTTTGGCTTTTTCGACAACTGAAATATTCACATGTGAGCTGTGATTATCGAGTAGTTATAGAACTGGCTCTTCCTTGGTGGGTTTCGCGTGCTTAATAAAATGATCCATAAAAACTAAAAATTCCTTTTCTGTCATCCACCCTGAAGAATTGCCAGCTCCAATGCAATCTGGAGGTCCACCGCGAATGAACATTTCAGAGTTTTTAAGCCTGGGAAAAATGAACATCGGTGGAATAAAATTTCCCGCAGCGTTAGCGGCACAGGCAAGTGTCACAAGTGTTCCCCTCTCGGCTGATGTTATCGCGCCAACTTGCTTTTGACCACGAGCAGCTACGATTTTCTTTGGTTTTTGAACGTTCGTGACCCCAGTTTCATCAATGTTCCAAATTCGAGAAGCGGTAAATTCGTATCTTTGGAGAAGGACTTGATATTTTTCAAAGAAAGCATTAACGTTAGTCCTATTAAATGATGTTGCTCGGCTCAGTGACGTCGCTTCTGGAGTCCTTAAAGACAGTTGATAATTTCTGCGCATGAAATTTTGGAACCAATCAGGACCAGCACTATTATTTTGATGCCAAGAAGGGGGAATGTTTTTAGCATCAAGATGCACAGCACATTGGTAAGCTAGTTTCCTTATTTCGATAGGAAGTAATCCAAAATATATTTCAGCACACTTAAGAATATATAAAGACATTTTACGTTCTTCTTCGTCTGTAAATACTTGTCTAGGCTTGACATAACCTACTTTTGGACTTTCATTATTCTTCTTCTTCTTAATATATCTGTACAGAGATACGTGACATAATTCAAAATTCTTACTCGCCTTCCGAATACTACAGTTGTTTTCTAAAACTTCAGCTGCAGCCAACTCGTACACCTTCTGGCTTTGTGTTGCCCTTTCTGTCTTTCTTTTATACTCTCTCATTCTAAATAAAAACAAATATGGTATGTTATATTACAAATAAAAACAGTAACTGTCAGCAATCTAGGGGCAAGTTGTAACATGTTACAACTAACCCCGGGATTTTGTTACAACTAGCCCCTAGGTATAATTTTTAATATTTATCACGATAGCTATTAAATCAACTTAGTTATTTCGATAACTGATATAGAACATCATAAATAGTTATATTTTAGCATCAAATAAAATACATACAACTCTAATTAGACGTAAATAGAAATGCCAACCAAAAAATTACGAAAGTGAAATAATACGTTACCTGGCGACAACGAAGCGCTTGCACACATCCACTCACAGCGCCGCCTGGCGAGACACTGGCTTTGATCATGCGGTGCGGCGAGTTATAATCGTAAGATTTAGTAAGAAAAAGGCGTCAATAAGGATTAAATTTATATTGAAAAAGGCCTGTTACTACTTACCCCTGTTACAACTAGCCCCTCGCTCCCCTACAGTATTTTTTTTATATGTATGATTCTAGTGCCAGATTTAATAATTATAATGAAGTGGTAAAAATAATTAAAACAAACACCTTTGTATGGATAAATGATGAAATATTTAAGTCGTAAGTTGACCTATAAGTTGCCCAACAGCGGTTCATCTTTACGCGACTTATTATTAATCATAATCACAATACAATGCAGCCAATATTACCGATACGAATTAACAATGACACCAGTTTACAATACTCGTCCCACATGCTGCCTTGGCATTAACGTAAAATGTCTGGCAGATTCCAGAAGACGATATAGCCCAATTGCTGAGTGTCAATATCGGTGACGTCACACATGAGACTGAAATCGAACCAAGAGAATTAATTCGAGTGTTAGAGATATGGTATTGACTTTTTTTTAATTATGCTTATTACTTTCAATATTATTATAGTATTAAAATATACGCGTTGACTTGAGAAAGACCATCTTTTTTAATTTATTTATATGGTACTAAAGTAGAGTTTGAAATCAAATATACCATGTTTATTTAATCTTTTTTTTTCTTCTTTTGATTATAACTATGGTCAGTAATGCACTATTATTTCGACATATTGCGTTAACTATAAGAAAATATTGTACATTGTGTACAGTTTAGATATTTATATATTTAAGCGGTTAAAGTTATTGTTAAATAGGTTATTTATTTAGTGAATGTTGTAAAAATAACAAGAAAATATAATTTCTTCTAAATAGATACTTTTGTTAATCATTAATTACTTAATTTAGATATATTGATTAATAAATATGTTATTATTACTTCGAGTAGTTCACTCATAAGACTCGAGTGAACAAGCGAGTAGCTAACCAGTTAAGCAACTATGCGATCATCTAGATGAATTCACTTATGCAATAAGTAACCAAAAGTGGTGATTAATGGATGTGCATAGCGTTAAAAGTGTGCCAGGGTGGAAACAAATCAAACGTTGCCTGTGGGGTAATAAGCTATATGTAGATCAAAACATTTAGATATAAATGTTACTAAACAATTAAAGTTGCTTTAGCACATTCCTTGTGTGTAATTATGTAGTAAAGTTTAGTATGCTTTTGAATTGGCACCTACAATCAAAAACGTAAATTTTATACGCATGCAGTTTTGCATGCGTGCATGTTTTTTTTAAGTACAATTCTGAATTTGACACAAATGAAGTCTCGGAGGAAAATGATTATTAATACTCAATGGTTTTTTTTTAAAAAATATGGATGCTTTGGACATTTCGGCTGATTAATATGTGCGGTATTTTAAAGGCCGTTCCTAATTGAAATATTATAATATAGTAACAAATAACTATATATTTTTAACCGACATCAAAATCGAAAAGAAGGCTCGACGGCGTT